CGAGCTTTTACAAGCTGTCAGCTTTAGGTTTCCACTTCCCAAGATTAAGTGGGGAGCTGTCCAAACGGCCGGCCCGATCCATCCGCGGCTGCTCCTGCAGCCCCTCGTTCCTTGTGGCCTGTCCTTCTGTCACAAGGGGCAAGAAGGGGTGCCCTCAGAGCAGGGCCAGCCTCCAAAGGGCCCCAAAGCCGGAGCTTTCTCTCTCTCTCTCTCTCTCTCTCTCTTTCTTTTGGAAGGCCTTAGAAATCCCGGGAGCCGGGACCGCAATGCCAGGCATAGCCTCTTTCCAAGCTCTGTGCCAGAGTACAAGCCACGCCGGCCATCGTTGCCTGGCGAGGGAGCCAAGGCAGGTCTTGTCCTGAAGACTGAGGTTGCCTCCAAAGACTGAGCTTTGGGGTGGGGTGGGGGGAGTGTGTGTGTGTGTGTTGCTGAGAAGAAACTTTGCAGGCATGGACGGAGCGAGGCTGAGGCAGAGAGGAAGCAGGTGTCTGAGCGGCTGCTGGAAGAGGCAGGCTTGGGTTCTGCCAGCTGGCTTCTCCCGCGCAGCTCCCTCCTCCTCCTCCTCCTCCTCCTCCTCCTCCTGCAGGGGCTGCTCGGTTGGCAAATTCTTGGCATGACACATTCCCTCACCTCGGTGGGGAATGGGACAGGAGGGAGAGGGAGAAGGGAGAGTATTGCTACCACCTGGCCCACCACCGAGCAGCGCCTGGCCCAAGGGATGGGACTCTGGAAGGGACAGGACAGGACCCCCCGGTAGGCGGGCAGGCCTCCCTCCCCGCCTGGGGGCTCCCAGCATGCCAGGGGGGGCTCACTTTCATAGGGGAGTCAGAGAAAGAGAGGACTCCCGCTACTCGGTTGGCAAATTCTTGGCATGACACATTCGCTCACCTCGGTGGGGAATGGGACAGGAGGGAGAGGGAGAAGGGAGAGTCTTGCTTCCTCCTGGCCCAACACTGAGCAGCACCTGGCCCAAGGGATGGGACTCTGGAAGGGACAGGACAGGACCCCCCGGTAGGCGGGCAGGCCTCCCCACCTGGGGGCTCCCAGCATACCAGGGGGGCTCACTTGCATAGGGGAGTCAGAGAAAGAGAGGACTCCATTGGGGGAAAGGAACTGCCGGTCCCTCGGCTTTGCTCCCCAGGGACAGCCAGCAGAAGCAGCCCTTTCTTAGCTTAGAGCGGGGGCTCTCACGTCCTGGGGCCCCCAGGCTCTCCAAGAGGGCAGTTAAAGCGAGGGAGGTGTCGAGCGAGAGTGGCCGAGCCGGCTGGAAACCTTGGACCTTGTCGTCCAGAAACAGTAGCTTCCCAAGCTCCTCTCTGCCTGGGATGCCAGAACAGCTTGCCCCCGCGGTCCAGTCCCCCTCCATCCCTCGGCCGACGGCTTCACTCGAGCCGGCAATCCCTTTCTGGGGGCGCTTGAGGGGCGTGCGGCGCGCAGGACCCCGTCCGGGACCTTCTGTGTTCCTCGCCCCGACCTTCGTGCCCTGGCCTGCTCCCTCGATGGCCAAACACGAGATTTGACAAGCTGGTTCTTGTTTCACGTCCCATCGAGTTGCCCTGCGGGAAGGAGCCGATTTCCAGCACAACCCTTTTCCAAAACGAGCCAGAGTTACAGTTTAACCACGTTTGCTCAAGGCGAGGAAGGCGGCGGAATGCCTCAGCGTCGGCCCCGACCCGTCAACATCCCCGCTGGAATCTTTTACCATACCTTGTGATCGGTATCGCCTGGTCTGGGTTCACCTTCTTGGCTACAGATTGAAACCCATAAAGCTCCCCACGGCTGGGTTTGGGGGGGCTTGTCATTCTGAGGAAGAAGCAGGGAGACACGAACCATCGCCCCAACTTAGGGGGGGTCCGTTTCTCTCCGTTTTCGGAGAGGGAGTATAAAGTGTGCCTTTAAAACGAGTCTTCAATAGTGATTTTAGAATGCTTGGTTCCTTTGTGGTCCGTTAGTGGGTGGAGAAAAGTAATTAGTAGACAGATAAACAAATAGACT